CTTAATCAACTCAAACTATGCGAGTCCTGTCTCCCACCTGAGTCTAACACAATCCATTGGGCGACACAAAAATAAATAAAAGCATGCAAGAAAGACTTATTTAACTTGAGAATATAAACAGTGGTTAGCATCACATGTATGACCAGATTTTATTGTAGTCTTTATAATACCATTCAATGCAATTTATATCAATAAAACTAATTAAATTTTAACGACTGCTCCCCAATTTATTGTTCCTGAATTCAAGCTACTAAAATCAGTAGATAAATGTACTGGAATCACTTAGTTTTATTAGCATGTAGATTAAAAAAGTCATCATTTACAATGATGATGCATCAGAATAATTGAAAGAACTAAAAGGCAGAATATACAAAAACAGAAGGAGGCCATCAACATGCCCTTGGGGTACCACATAACTCATTTTAGGGGAGACAAAATACAGAACGAAAAAATTTTTTTTTTTTGGTAGAGTTTTGAGTTTGAAATAACCCCATCAGAGGATTGTTTTAAACACAGATAATATTAATTTAAATCTATTAACATTGTTAATATTCATAAAATATACTGATGGTAATGATTTTCTCTCGATCTGTTGAACAAATAAAGAACAGCGGTCACATCTAAAACAGTTATGAATTGCACAACACTGATTATATTCATATATTTAAAACAACTCTTCATTCCAAAATATGTGACTACGTATTCTAGTTCCTCACATCTTGCAATGCTCTTCCCTGTTAAGGCTTGTGAAAACAAATATTCTTTTTTTTTTTTGTTTGTTTTTTAGATTTAGACATTGCGGACAATTGGGAGCATTGAAACACAGAAAGCTTGTGCATAACTTCTAAAGCACTCGCACACTATTCAAGTGGAAACCGTTTTATAAAGTCAAGGGCCCTAAGCAGAGCTCTTTAATGTTTCCATTTGATTTGGAGTGTTTGGCTTACTTCCTGTCTGAGTCAGGAAATTAACACAATGGGAGTAAATGACCCGTCATGCCTACCAGTTTCCTTTTTGTGAAGTTTTTTTTTTTTGCCAACACATGCACACACGAGTTCAATTTGTGTGACATTAGTTTAGTTGTAGTTGTAAAACAGCTTGAAGGGGCACAAGTGGCAACATGAAACTGCACATGCATGGATGTGTGTTGGTGAGAGTGTGGGTGTTTAGCAGGCAGTGCGAAAATGTTTGACTTGCGTTTCTTCCCGGTGAAGCTGAGCTCATAACCTGGCAACAGCAGCAGCAGATGGTTAGTAAAGTCATTGTTCTCTTCTTCAAGGACTAGTTTCTGAGTCCCTGATCTGCATAATGTGTTTCACTCGTCTGACAGCAGAGCGCAGATGCACTCACTTATCTGTGTTTTGTTAAACTGGAAACTAGAGTTACTGAAGTTAAAGAGCTTGCCCCGCCTCCGATATCGATTCTCATATTTTTCAAACTGAAGTGCTCTGAGGTGTCGTTGTTTGGAGAACTGCTCCTCCCTTCCTCAGTTAGCGCTTTGTTCTCTCTGTTGCCAACCTCACACATTCATAATTAGAACTAAAGCGCACAATTAGGTTTGAGTCCTGGTTTTTGTTTGCACACTGAAAATAATTAGTTCACCACACTTACTTCCCACGTGGATAACAGATGACGTGCTTGCCAGAGGTTTTGACTGACACTGCTCCATTTTTTTATTTTAGGAAGGGCTTTATTTAGACAACAGGTTTAGTTAATATAAAATTACTTTTGTACTCTGTTCAGTGATAAAATGCCTTATAAACTAGAAGCACTTGGAGAGCGCACGCCTCTGCCAAAAATGCAGTAACAACAAACAAGAATGCTTTTAAAAATTACTCGAGCCGGATGGTGATCCAGATGACCATCATAATTTATAATTTGTTCTTTGTGATAACCTCAACATTTCCTGAAAATGACATGAAAATCCATTCATATCATTTTGAGTAATCTTGTGCACAGACAGACAAACCACCGCTACCGAAAATATAACCTCCTTTGCGGAAGGCTGTTTGTAATTATTAAATGGTTCACAATCTGCCATACTTGTTCATCATTATTTTCCATGATTGTTTGTTCTGACAGAAACAACCCAAAGCAAACTCTTCAGATTACTCATCTGTAATCTTTGAAGCAGACCACTCTCTAACATTAGAGAATATTAATAAATTTAGACATATCTGCTGATTGTTTATCGGGCAAATTGTGTGTTTACCTTTTGTTCTTGATTTGCTGGATGAAATATTCAGACACTCGTGATGTTTTAGAGTTCGAGATTTTCTCAAATGTTAAAAATGCAACAGTTTTGTCCTTGAAGCAGGAGTAAACAACTTCTTTGTGAATTTGCTGCAAAGATGTATCAATAGATGTCTCATTACAGGAAATAGTCACCTATTTTGCTCATGTTATAATGGGTACAGTTCTGGGCTGTTGCATCCAGGCCTGTCATGTCCCTGATGTCCTGTCCTAAATAATCTGTGGTCTGTGGCTGAAAGACTGAAAAGGGAACGGGATTACAGACTAGATCTTTTCACAGATCAACATTTCAGCTGGGTCTGATATGCTTTCATTCTGCACCTTAGTCATCGGTGACGGTACAGTACTGCCCTTAACGACAACATTGTCGTCACTTTGTTCATTCTGAGCAGAAAGAGGAGTGGCGCTCAGCCAGTTGTGTTTGTTCTGTGTGGAGTAGCAATGAAAAACATTTGCAGCGTTTTAATTCAATTCAATTAAGTTTATACAACACCAAGTCACAACAGAAGTCAGGGCACTGAACAGAAACACCTGGAATACCCACGTTTACTGAAATTTGTTTTAACATATGTTTAACATTCAATTTGACTATTTAGACTGAGATCCTGCTGCGCAAGTCTAACACATTCTAATGTCATTAGACCTATAACTCAATTGAATCTCTTTTAACTCATTATATTTTTAACTGAGGGGTTCAGTGTCTTGCCCAGGGACACTTTGGCATGTGACTGCTGGTGGAATCAAACCCTCAACTCTTGCATTGTAGGACGACTGCTCTAACTACTCAGCCACAGGCGCCCTATATGTATCAAGATATATATATATAAATGGTATATGTATAGATGCACAGTATTGGATATTACATTTTTGGCCAATATCCGATATGCCAATATGTTAAAACTTATTTGGCCGATAACCGATACCAATACAGATTTTTTTTTTCCCCTAGACCTAGACTACATAACTTTCTCTGCTGTGGAATTAAAATACTACATTATTCTGCTGCATGGTCTTTGTCAGTTTGTCCTGCTACCAAATGCAGATGACAAAAAAGGGGACTGAAAATGATGTAACACTTCAACTTGGATTATGTTTAATGTCAAATTTATTCATGACATTTACTCTCTAACAGAATGACAACACTTGAGCAGTGCAAATTTGTAAGTTTTCACAAAAGTAAACTCAACCTGTTCACAAGCGACAAGTATAAAGTGCATAAGTGGTGCATTGATAGATTTACTTGACAGTTTCTTAAAAAATAAAATTAAAGCAGCACCTTTTATATCGGTGAGTAATTTTGATGGAATGGCCGATGTCCGATATTTAACTTTATCAATGATATTGACCGTTACCACACTAATAATATTGTGCATCCCTAGGTACACTAAACATTTGTTACCCATGCTTGCAAAATGAGTCACAATGAGGAATTTTTCAGTATTTCGTTAATTTTATGTTAAACGTCTCCATCTCATAAGCTTCAAAATTGTGCTTAGTTTGTTGACATTTGGAAGTTATCACCTGGCGTGGCAACAATCTAATTTTGTTTATGAGAGTGTCTGTTTGAAAAGTCAATTTTTATTGGTTTAAAGTGACGTCATCAGGAACTCCAGCCAAATATTTAAAAAGAGACAATGCCCAAGTTTTACAGTGATGCCAAACATTAAATGAAATTATTTCCTGGAGCGATGACATAAAACAGATAAAAGTAATTTTAAAAGGAAATTATAAAAGCGATAAACAAAGGATTATTTCTGAAGACGTAGCTGTTAGAGAACTTTGATTTAAAGATACATTACATAGATTATAGATGGTGTTTTAATTGACTCGTTCAGTCTCGGTTATGGAAAAAATATATATTTTCTCATTCTTTGTATTCTGACTCAATTTGCCAACATGAGTCTCATGTGATGATGACAAAACTTCAGAACACGTTTTACTGTTTTTATTACAGTAAACTTTATTTAATACTAAAGTAATTAATCTTTTGACGTAAAAATATTGAGATAAATCTGTGCTTTTAATCCACTGTGATCTAAATGTATTTTTGATCTTTGTACGGATTTATTAAAATTTGTTTCTGTAAATTAAAAAAAAAAATCCACAGTTTTTATAAGACATCCCACTCTGTCCTTTGTTTTTATGTCCCCTTTATGCAGCATCAACACCCACCGTGCTGTTCACCTTTAGCTGACCCACCATGCAGCACCATTGGGCTCATTATCCAGTCCAATAGCATCCCAGTGCACTGTCAGTCAAACACCTGCTGTGGCTTTGTGACCTACTGCACCCTTTGTGTCTTGCAAGCTGTGGCTTTGTGTGCTTGTGCATATATCTGAATAAAATTCTCCTAAAGAGACAGTAATGAGGTCAAGTGATTATCTAACCTGATCAGATGTGCATCACTCTGAGTTTAATCTGATTGGAATCTGAAAAGGTGGAGTGAACTCACATCACTGCAGAGTGTTGATCTGCTATGTTAGCATGGCCTTGTGTTTGTTTTGTTCTAGTCTTTTCAAAACTGTTATGATGTAACTGGGATTGGCATATATTCTTTTTTTAGACTAGATATTTATAGTTTAAAAAATTGGGGTCTTTTCCACAAATAAGAGAAGTGGTTGTTTAATGGTGAAGCATACTTAAGTACATCATTGTACGTTATTTACATCCTTATTAAAAAACTCAACCCTGAATCACCTCAGTGCATTTTGAATCCTGACTAAAACAGTCATTTTGTTCTTCTTCAGCTCACAACTGGTGCCCCCCTCCCTTAACCTGCGTCCAGCAACGGCGCCACCACTGCCAGCCGGGCTCGTCTCACTGCGGTCCGTGCCTCTCTCCCTTCCAGGAGAACCAGGAAGGACGCTGCGTCCAGAGACGACGCCATCAAAACGGTACGAAACAAGACTTCACATGCAAAAAACACTAAACTCATAAACTGCATTTTATGGTAACATTACAGTTGAAACTCAATCTTTACTACTGTATTTTTCGGCCTGTAAGTTGCGTTTTTTTGCATAATTTGCATGCCCAGTGTAGGGCTAGGTACCTTTCTAAAAAATTTGGTACTGGTGTCAGTACCTTCACTTCGGTGTCGACTCCTGAACGGTACTTTTTCTGGTACCAATTTTGTAATTAATATTAATTCTAACAAGAAAAAAATTACGTTACAAATTACAGTGCAAATCTTGAGTTTTATTTTTTAACTTTGGCATTTTTCCATTCCAAGCAGTTTTCTTACATAAAAATAAACAATGTCCAAGTCAAAAGAACAGTTGCAAACCAGTGACATGTCAATGTCTAATGCTCACTGCTACATACTGAGGACCTTCTCACTTAACAATTTTTATAACCAGTGCCTGTTTGCCATATGTCTGTGTTTTACCTGCCTGCATGCTGAAACCACGTGTCACGTTAACAGTCAATCACCGAAACTTGACACCGAAAGAAGAGGCATATTTTGATCAATACACTGACCGAAGCAGAACTCAGCCCTAGCCCTGTGACTTATAGGCCAAAGCGACATATTTATGGATTATTTTCACCCGTATTTATAAACCAATTTTTGGCTGAGAGATGACCGTTTTCTTTCATTCTGACTGGAAAAAAAAGAACAGTACCATTTTTAGCCACCAGATGGCAACAGGGTAGTAGTAGCAGTAAGGCATGCCGTTGTATCATGTAACGGGTTAACGTGGCTATAATGACAAATTCAAAAAATGGTAAATGGACTGTACTATACTTAAATAGCACCTTTCTATCTTATCAAGATACCCAAAGCACTTTACACTACAATCTGTGCCCTCATTTACCCATTCATTCATCATTCTACTATATCTATACAAAGACTAATCAGTGCTTTAGATCACATTCATACACCAATGGGACACACATCAAAGGTAATGAGGGGTTCAACGTCTTACCCAGAGACACTTCGGCATGTGACTACTGGTGGAATCGAACCCAAACTCTTGCATTGGAGGACGACTGCTCTAACCACTCAGCCACAGACACTCAAAAAAGTTCAAGATAAAACCAACTGGACTTCATTTATTATACTTTATACTTTATTGTTTTTGTCTTGAACTTTTTTTAATTGTCCATGTCCTGGATGACTGAGAATCTTCACCAGGTATTAATGACACAATCGGCTTGCCATAGACTCCCACCTTTGTTCTGCTCACAGCTTGGAGCAACCGTCAAATCAGCTGCACCAACCTGGCGAAATACAGCTAATTTGACCGTTAAAGTGCATTTATTAAGTAAAAGTTCAACTGAGACACACCTTTATTATAATGTCGAGCAAACAAATAATTGCTTTAGGTTCTTGTTAAATTTTGAACAAATGTGCAGCATTCCTCCTTCCTTTTTTTCCTGCCTCTGCGTGCTCCCAGAACACCGAGACAGCAAATGCTTTTGAAATACAGCTGATTTGACCGTTAAAGTCCTTTTATTAAGCAAACGTTAGACTGAGACGCACCTTAACAATAATTTCCAGCAAACAATTTTTTTTAGGTGGTTATCTTGTTAAATTTTCACAGCGACTCGTCACGTGCACGTGTTTACTTCCGTGTATCGACTTTTGAAATACAGATGATTTGACCGTCAAAATTCATTTATTAAACAAAAGTTAGACTGGGACACACCTTTACTATAATTTCGAACAAACAAATAATTGTTTTAAGTGTTATCTTGTTAAATTTTTGTTAAAGTCCTCCTGTGCACGCTCCCGCGGTCGTCATTTGGCAGCCCGTCGATTTTTGGCACAACACCGGCCCACATTTCTGGGTTCGGCCCACATTTCCATATTGTCAGCGGTGATGCGTAATAGATGTGACGTATATGGCGAAGCGACATATTTATGGATTTTTCCACCTTTTTTTTTTACATATTTGGACTGATGCGACTTATAGGGCGGTGTGACGGGTACGGCGGAAAATACGGTGCATTGATTTCTACTTTTTTTTTTTATTAGATAAGAACTCTAAACAACAAATTTCAGAACTTTTTTATGCATACTGATGGTTCTTAAAACTTTTAAATTAATATGGCAAGAAATTACTAATATAAAATAGAAGGACATTATTTTCAAACTTTTATACTGTTTAGATTTAATAAGCAATTTTGTCTTTTAATAATAATAATAATAACGTGTTATGTATTGTCATCATTGTATGTTCCCATACAATGGTGAAAAAAATTGACTCTGCTTTTAACTCATCCACCACCAGGTGGAGCAGTGAGCATCTATGGAAAGTACCTGGGGAGCATCTGGGGATAGGGTGTCCTGCTCAGAGACACCACGAGATGTGCAATGACCGGGGATTAAACCCAGGACCTTCGAGTCTCGAGTCAGCTGCCCTGCCCCTACCCCATCTCGTCCTTATATTATTGTTTTTTCTTTATATTAGGTTTAATATGCTCTAATATCATTAAAATATTGTGTGATATTAGCTCTTTTTTTCTTCTTCTTCTTTTTAATAATGCATGTTTTCGTGTGTGCATTTATGCACTTGGCTCCTACCGTCCAGAAGTAAAATTTAGTAAAAGTACATAAACAAGTATTCATGTAATCTGGAACTTTTAATTATGAAGAAAAACAAGTAAAACAACTGAAGTTTTATTGCACTTTAAAAAAAACAAAAAAAAAAAACAAGATAAGGTCTGGAAAATCAGTTCAATTTTTATTATTATTATTATTATTATTATTATTAATACACTTGCATCTCTTGGTGTTATAAATCTACTCTGGTTATCCTTAGCACCGTTCCTCTGCAGGCACACTCTGAGTATTTTGAGACTCATGTTGGATTCAGTGTTTACACAGGGACACTTTGACGCTTGTCCACTTTAGGAGTCAAATCATTGACTTTCTGATTAAAGTACAACCAATCCAACATTAAACCACAACTTCTCTGGACTATTTATGATATTTTGAAGTGTTATGTATAATTTTATTGTTTTGTTTTTGTAAGTTTGAACTCATGAGTTGAGCTAATCCTGAATATCTTCATTATTTTTTATATATCAGTATTTTATTTGGTTGTCTTGCTCTAATTGTGGATTTATCTCTTCACCCCTTGTAGATCTCACCCTCTCTTTTTAGAGCAGCTTATTCTTTTGTTAATCCAGCCCTGCTGTGTTTGCCACACACACCGCTCTGCATCACCCCCGCACTAGCAGCTTACTGCGATGGCACGTTTTTCTCTCTTTTTCGCCCTTCATCTCCATCCCTGAATCTAATATCACTCAGTGAAAGAGACGAGCTGTAAAAATCTTTTTTTTTTTTTTTTCCACAGCCTTGCACTGCTTGCAGCATAAATCATATTTCAAGAAGGCACTACAGAAACGGGAGGGAGAGAATGAAATGCAGCTTGTGAATATTTGCGTGAACACATTCATAACGGTTGGTGGGCACATCTTAAATCTCTGCAGGATTAATAGATTGGATGGGTTTACAGCCGCAGTGGATTCGGCTCAAAATCAGCTCGTGACATTGGCAAAAGCTTCAGAGAGTGACATAACCTTCCATCCATCCATTATCTTTACCCGCTTCTTCCTTTCCGAGTTGCGGGGGTCACTGGTGTTCATATCCAGAAGTCACTGTGCAAAAAGCAGGGGGCACCCTGGACAGGCCTTATGTCCATCACAGAGCCACAAAGAGAGAAACGAGACAAACATTCACACTCGTGCACACCTAGAGATAATTTAGAGTTCCAATCAGCCTAACATGCATGTTTTTGGTCTGTGGGAGGAAACTGGAGTACCTGGAGAAAACCCACGCATGCACAGAGAGAACATGCAAACTAGTAGTAGCTCCTCAGACTGGAGGATCTTACAGATAAAAGACAAAATGTTTCAACAAAGAAGAGAAAGCCTGACTCAGCTTGTTAGATTTATCTACCTGGATCATCAAGACATTTGTATAAGCGTCTTCATGTACCTGAGATAAAGGTATTATCATGCAAATGAGAGGGGTGTTTGCAGAAAACATATATATTAGTCAGCTGTTCGTATTTGGGTGTCATTATGTTGTGTCCTCATGTTTGTGACGTTCTAGTAAGCTGCATCAAGTGGTTACATAAACCCACTAGAAACCACAGAACACACTGATCCACACAAGAGTGACTCTTATTTTCACACTCACCACACAAAGATACACAAAATGTTAATGTGAGTAGATGAAATTGTGACTGTTTCCTTCAGTTACTCAGAAACGTACAGCATATTTACTGTTTTTGATTTGTTAGTGGCAGCATGTTACAGCACTAAACGACTAATTATCTTCTTAAACTTTGAAAATGAGGTGCTTGATTGGGTTTATTGTGTGGTAGTGAGTGACATAAAACAAGATGAAAAAGTTGTGGTGGATACTGCCATCATCATATTCATGTAACACAACCCAGAGCTGAAGCTTGTTTCACTGCTTCCTCTTCGTTTCCCTTCATTTGATTAAAAATCTTGTAAACAGTTTAACGCAACAGAAGCTGCAGCTGTAGACTTTTACCCCCTCGAACCCATCTGCCTGCTTAATGTGGCCGTCACGTGATTGCTTGATAAAATCAGAACAAATTTTGTCCTTTTTTTTATTTTAAACAAAATGTTCTAGTTGTGATACACTGACTCATTCAGAGTGATGGTCCCAGTTGATTAAGGGTGCATTCACACCAGCCCTGTTTAGTCCGCTTTAATCGAACTCTAGCTCGTTTTCCTGGGAAGTTCGGTTCGTTTGGGGAGGTGTGAACGCACCATCAAACTCTGTCATGGAACAAAAAGGCGAACTCTGGCTCGGGCTAAAACCTAGGTCTCGGTCCGGTAGAAGAGAACTCCAGCGCGGTTCGAGTACAGTGTGAATGCAAACAGACCGGGCCCCGCTCCACAAGCAAGAAGTGGA